TCCCAAAGTGCTGGGATTATCGGTGTGAGCCACCTTTATCTGTTTGTCTATCTATACCAATACTATATATATGTATGTGTGTGTGTGTGTGTGTGTGTGTGTGTGTGTGTATATATATATATATTTTTTTTTTTTTTTGAGACAGAATCTCGGTCTGTCACCCAGGCTAGAGTGCAGTGGTGTGATCTCTGCTCACTGCAACCTCCACCTCCCAGGTTCAAGTGATTCTCCTAGCTCAGCCTCCTAAGTAACTGGGACTGTAGGCATGCACCACCACGCCTAGCTAATTTTTGTACTTATTAGTAGAGATGAGGATTCACCATGTTGGCCAGGCTGGTCTTGAACTCCTGACCTCAGGTGATCTGCCCGCCTTGGCCTCCCAAAGTGTTGGGATTACAGGCCCGAGCCATCACGCCCAGCCTACTGTCTTGATTACTCTAACTTTATATGAAGTCTTGAAATTAGGTAATGTGACTTCTTCAACTATGTTATTCTGTTTCATAATTGTTTTGGTTGTTCTAGGTTCTTTGTATTTCCATATGAATCATAAAAACAACTTGTCAATATCTACAAAAAGGACTACTGGTATTTTAGTTGGGATTGCATTGAATCTATAGGTCAGTTTGAGGAAAATTGCCATTTAATAACGTTGAGTCTCCTGTTTTGAAAAATAGAGGTGAGGTCTCACTACGTTGCCTAGGCTGATCTCATAGTCCTAGGCTCAAGCAACCCTTGTGCCTCAGACTCCCGAAGTGTTGGGATTACAGGCATTAGCCACCATGCCTGGCACTAATCTCCTGATTCTTGAACCCAGTATATCTCTGCATTTATTCAGATCTTTAATTTCTCTCAGCATATTTTGTCATGTAGCTGGGACTACAGGCGCCTGCCACCACGCCTGGCTAATTTCTATAATTTTAGTAGAGACGGGGTTTTACCATATTGTTCAGGCTGGTCTCTAACTCCTGACCTCAGGTGAGCCACCTGCCTTAGACTCCCAAAGTGCTGGAATTACAGGCGTGAGCCACTGCACCTGGCCAACACCTGGAACATTTCTTTGAACATCTGTTATTGTCTCAAACACTGGATGCCCCAAAAACCCTGTGCTTAAAAATGAATGGTGAAACCTATTTGGTAACGTCTTTATTTTCAGGTTGCTGGAGGAGCCAGTATGAGTCAGATTTCAGAAGCTCTGAGCCGATACAGGAACAGATCATGTTTTATGAAGGAAGCCCTCTGCAGGCTATTCACAGAGACATTTTCAATGGAGGTAACCATGCCTGCTATTTTAAAGGTAATTGAAGAAAGAAAAATTTTATTATTACTTCTTAACTTGGTTCAATTAATAATTGTTAATGAACCACACTGAATATAATAAATTATATGCTTTATTCTATAGTGAGTCAAGTGCTCTCATAGAGCAAAGAAAAGAATGTTAAGCTTAGCTGACAAAGTGTCTTTTGCTTTGAGCATCTGGATTTATGTGGAATAAATTTGAATCAAAACAGTTAAAATTTGGTCTAAGTAAGGGACTAATAGGATCATGTGGTAAGTGGCTTGGGAAAGAAAACTGCAGTTATTTATTTTTCTTTTATACATGTGTTTATTTGAAACATAGTTGTTTTTAGTGAAACATGACAATGAAAGGTCTTAAGAAAAATCTTGTCTTTTATTATTTGTAATTTTTTGCAATTCTTTAAAAATATGGATATTTCCCCAGCACTTTGAGAGGCTGAAGCGGGTGGATCACGAGGTCAAGAGATTGAGACCATCCTGGCCAACATAGTGAAACCCCATCTCTACTAAATACAATACAAAAATTAGCTGGGCATGGTGGCGCGCTCCTGTAGTCCCAGCTACTTGGGAGACTGAGGCAGGAGAATCGCTTGAGGTTGCAGTGAGCCGAGATCGCGCCACTGCCCTCCCTCCTGGTGACAGAACGAGACTCAAAAAATATATATATATATTTTTACAGCATGGGCGATTAACTTTATTTACAGCTCAAAAGCAATAATGTATAAAGAAAAACTCTGGGTCAGCTGTGGTGGCTCATGCCTGTAATCCCACCACTTTGGTTGGGAGGCCCAGATTGGAGGATTTCCTGAGGCCAAGAGTTCAAGACCATCCTGATCAACATTAGTAAGACCCTGTCTCTACAAAAATTTAGAAAAAAAAAAAAAAAAAATAGCTCTGGCTGGGCGCCATGGCTCACACCTGTAATCCTAGCACTTTTTGGGAGGCTGAGGTGGGCAGATCACCTGAGGTCAGGAGTTCGAGACCAGCCTGGCCAACATGGTGGAACCCCATCTCTACTAAAAATACAAAAATTAGCCAGGCTTGGTGGCAGGTGCCTGTAATCCGAGCTACTGGGGAGGCTAAGACAGGAGAATCACTTGAACTTAGGAGACGGAGGTTGCAGTGAGCTGAGATGATGCCACTGCACTCCAGCCTGGGCGACAGAGTGAGACTCTGTCTCAAAAAAAAAAAAAAAAAAAATTAACTGGGCATGATTGCACATGCCTATAGTCCCAGCTACTTGGGTGACTGACATTGGAGGACTTTGTGAGCTGAGGAATTTGAGGTTGCTACAGTAAGCTATGATGGTGCCACTATACTCCAGCCTGGGTAACAGAGCAAGATCCCAACTCGAAAAAATAAATAAAAAATTCTGGGCCTTTTTTTCCATCTGTAAGGAAGAGATTGAATTAAATGTTCTTCTGTTTTTGTTTGTTTGTTTTTGTTGTTGTTCTTTGAGACAGGGTCTCACTCTGTTGCCCAGGCTGGAGTGCAGTGGCATGATATGGTCTCAGCTAACTGCAGTCTTGACCTCCTGGGCTCAAGTGATCCTCCTGCCTCAGCCTCCTGAGTAGCTGGGACTATAGGCGTGCCCCACCATGCCTGGCTATTTTTTTGTTTTTTCTATAAAGATGAGGTCTTACTATGTTGCCTAGACTGAATTTAGATGTTCTAAATTTATTTTCATGCTAAGAGTCTATAATTTTTGTGAAAATCACATTTCTTTTGGTTTCTGGATTTCTAAATTGCAGATGATGGCAATCTAATGAAACTGAAAAATCAATTTAGCAATATACAAAAAAATGTCATTTTCCATAGCAGAAGTATATCCCAGGTCTGTCTCTAGTAGAGGAAACAGATCACAGTGTCCCTGCATGGCAGAGCAGGTGGGGTCTAAGCTTGGAACAATGCCTTCATTTTACATTTGTGTTCTAGGTCTTCCACAGTATAGCTTCAGGTTACCTAATGTTTTGTTTTACCATGTTTCAAATTCTTCTCTGTTGGTGGATTTATCCCATCCTTTTTTTCCACTTTGTTTTTCTTTATCACGCTTCTTTTCCCTAGGAATACCCTGTCCATTCTGCCCCCACATTTATCTCCTCCTGTGTAAGTCCTGAGACTCTGCCTAAATGTGCTCTCTCAATGAGTTCTTTTGATTCTCTCCCAGAAATGACCACTCTCTCCATAATTACTGTCCTCAGACATCACTTCATTGATGCGTCTTTTATGGTGCTTTTCTTCCATTTTATTTTTTTGGCATTTCTCACAGTGTTATTACTCTCACAAGGCTTTATGCTAATGAGTAGCTCTCACTCATGTTTGTGTCCCCTGCAGCGCCTGTCACAGTAGCTTGTATGGAGTGAGGCTCAATAAATGATTTTGAGTTAATTTCACAGATAAAGAAACAGAGTTCTTGAGAAAGGAAGTGACTTGGCCAAAGTCGCACAGATAGTGACTCCATTTGGATTAGAAGACTTTGCTGTAATACTCTGATGTACTAAAGAATAAATGCTTGGAGTAGGGAAAATCTGTTCCTGTCCCAATAAACGAAGATTTCTGCCAACCAAAACATGGACAAGACAGCATAGAGAATATCAGTGGCATCATATGCACTAAAAACAAGTTCATCTTCAGCTTGTGGCTGTAGGAATGAGGAATCACCCGTTGGATTTGCCAGTGCAGTTCACAGCCAGTGCTTGCGCTCTCAACCTAACACGCCAGGGCCTGGCCAAGGGGATGCCTGTTCGCCTGTTGTCAGAGGTCACCTGTCTACTTTTCAAGGCTCTGAAAAATTTCCCCCATTACCAGCAGGTAATTTCAATTGAATATTTGTTTGTGCTTTTTTCGTTGTTGTTGATACAGAGTCTAAGCTCTGTTGCCCAGGCCAGAGTGCAGTGGCACTGTTTGTTTTTGGGTTTTTTTGTTGTTTGTTTGTTTTAAAGACAGAGTCTCTCTTTGTCGCCCAGGCTGGAGTGCAGTGGCATGATCTCGGTTCACTGTGACCTCTGTCTCCCGGATGCAAGCAATTTTCCTGCCTCAGCCTCCTTAGTAGCTGGGATTACAGGCGTGCACCACCACGCCCAGCTAACTTTTGTATTTTTAGTAGAGATGGGTTTCACCATGTTGGTCAGGCTGATCTCAAACTCCTGACCTCGTGAGCCACCATGTGTGGCAGACAATTTGTGTTTTTTAACTTTAGGATAAATATGTGAAAAATATATTATTTAGTTCTGGTTTTTCGCCCTATTAGAGAAAGAGAATAGATAAAGGAGTTTGTGTTTGTTATAGAAAAAATAGGAAATATAGATAAGCAGTGAGGTTAAAATTTTCTTTTTCTTTTTCCTTTTTTTTTTTTTTTTTGAGAGATTTTCACTCTTGTTGCCCAGGCTGGAGTGCAGTGGTGTGATCTCGGCTCACTGCAACCTCTGCCTCCCGGGTTCAAGCGATTCAGCTGGGCCTACATGTGCATGCCACCACAGCTGGCTAATTTTTTTTTTTTTTTTTTGGGATAGTCTTGCTGTGTCACCCAGGCTGGAGTGCCGTGGCGCGATCTTGGCTCACTGCAAGCTCCACCTCCCAGGTTCATGCCATTCTCCTGCCTCAGCCTGCCAAGTAGCTGGGACTACAGGCGCCCGCCACCATGCCCAGCTAATTTTTTTTTTTTTTTGTATTTTTAGTAGAGATAGGGTTTCACTGTGTTAGCCAAGATGGTCTCGATCTCCTGACCTCGTGATCTGCCCGCCTCGGCCTTCCAAAGTGCTGGGATTACAGTCGTGAGCCACCGTGCCTGGCCTACACACATTTTCATTTTTATTATTTTTTTTGAGATGAAGTCTCACTCTGTTGCCCAGGCTGGAGTGCAGTGGCATGATCTTGGCTCACTGCAACCTCTGCCTCCTGCCTCAGCCTCTCGAGTAGCTGGGATTACAGATGCACGCCACCATGCCTGGCTGATTTTGTATTTTTAGTATAGATGCGGTTTCACCATGTTGGCCAGGCTGGTTTTGAACTGCTGACCTCAGATGATCACCTACCTTGGCCTCCCAGAGTGCTGGGATTACAGGAGTGAGCCACCATGCCTGGCCCCCTCCCCAACACATTTTTAAAATGAAAAGGTAGATGATGGACTGGGAAACATGTTCATTTTATATATATGAGAATCGACTTCATTCAGAGTATCTAAAGAACTCAGCTTGTCAATACAGTACAAATAAACCAGTTATAAAAATGATCAAAGAATTTGAACAGTTTGGTAGTTTCTTTACAAGTTAAATATATACTTTATAAACTACCTAGTCATTCCACTCCTAGGTATTTATTGAAGATAAATGAAAGCATGTATCCATATAAAGATATTTACATGAATGTTCATGGTACCTTTAATTGCCAAAAACTTGAAACATACCAAATGTCCAACAACAGGTGAATAGATACATTGTAACAAATCTATTTAGGGAAACACTGGTTGGCACACAAAGAGATGAAGTACTGATATCTGCAGTGTAGATGACACTCAAAAATGTTATATGCTTAGCAAAACAGGCCAAACTCAAAAGAGCAGAACCACATGATTCCATTTGCATAACACCTTAAAAAAACTAATCTATAATGATTGCAATTTTCCAAGGATAGGGTTACAGGGTTGAGACTGACTGGAAGAGGGGACAGTGGAACTCTCTGGGGAGATAGAAGTATTATATCTTGATTGTAGCAGTGGTTACACAGGGGTATACATTTGTGAAATCTAATTCAAATGTGTACTTTGTAAAGGGAGTTGATTTTTTAAAAAATACAATTAGGAAGGTGGTTTTCCTCATTTATTTCTACCTTACTTTTAAAGTTGGAAAATCCTACTCAGTCTTCATTCCCTCATGACAGTCATCAGTTATAGCATTAAATGAAAATTGTGGATAGGGACAGGTATTTTCTTATGAGCTCTCAATAAGAGCTTTTGAGCTTTTCTTATGAGCTCTCAATAAGAAAAGCTCACTGGTAATACTTCCAAATACATAGAATCTTTGTTTAGAATGGAATGTTACATTTGTTCAAAATTATTTTTCTTTATTCTCTAAAAGTTACAGAAGAATTGTCTTCTCTCCTTAACCAATTCCAGGATTCTTGTGGATGTTCCCTTTGACAGGCAAGTATAAGACTTGGTCATTTGATTGGGGTGTTGGCCTTTGGTTATTAAATGCAGGGGCCTGATTAAGGCTGGGATAAGGTGTTTGGAGAGAAGGTTCTGTTGAGCGTCTTCCACATAGAAGTGATTAGAAGTACCCTACTTGAAAATGTCTCCTAAAGTGATTCCAGTACAGGATAGTGGGTAAGAACAGGTTCCGAGAGCCAAACATACTTGGACTTAAGATCTAGCCCTTTCATTATCTTTGCTTATAAGTTTCCTCATTTGTTAAATAATGCCTCTTACCATCGTTAGATACGATAGTGTCTGTAAAGTACAGGCTATTCTAAAGAATATTAGTAATAGGCCGGGCGCAGTGGCTCACGCCTGTAATCCCAGCACTTTGGGAGGCCGAGGCGGGTGGATCACGAGGTCAGGAGATCGAGATCACCCTGGCCAACATGGTGAAACGCCATCTCCACTAAAAATACAAAAATTAGCTGGGCATGGTGGCGGGCGCCTGTAGTCCCAGCTACTTGGCAGGCTGAGGCAGGAGAATCGCTTGAACCCCAGAGGCGGAGGTTGCAGTGAGCCGAGATCACACCATTGCACTCCATCCTGGGCGACAGAGCGAGACTCCATCTCAAAAAAAAAAAAAAAAGAAAGAAAGAAAAAGAATATTAGTAATTTATTCACTTTGTTATGTAATTATTATTTTAATAGTAATTTACTTTTTAATTATTTAGAAAATCATCATCATCCTAGCCATTCCAGAAGGATTTCCCTTGAGGCTTTAGCAGTCTCTCGGATTCACAAGTTTTAAAACATTTGTAATAGCTGACATAAAAGAGCAGAGAAATGAGGCACAAGCTAACAAGAGCAAAGCCCCTGATTTGTGAATACAAGGTTTAGGCTCAGTCACTTTGTAACTGAGTGATGTTTGCTGCAGCATTTTAGCATTGTCTGCTACTCAGATTACAAATTGCTACCACTCTGGAAATTCTCTTTCTTTTTCAGACCCATTGTAGTAGAAACTGGATGATAAATACATTTTTTCTTAGATTTGCTCATCTTTATGTAAATTCTGTGTATTTTGCTCACATTCTTATTTGCATACTCTCCTATCCCCTGCCTGGTCTCTCTGCCAAATGCTCTTGGTTTTCATAGTTGAGGATGTAAAAGTCCAAGACTGTTTTTGTTATAGAATTACTCGGAGAATGCTAAATGATTTCTTCTGTGTAGTTTCACAAACTTTCTATATAGTTGTGAGAAAAATAAATACTGCTTTTCAGGTTTGATGCTGCCAAGTTTGTCATGAGATGGCTCTGTAAGCATGAAAACCCCAAGATGCAAACAATGGCAGTGAGTGTCACCTCTATTCTAGCTCTGCAGGTATGTGATTTCTTAAAGGCAAGATTTCTGTCTCTCTAGTTTTCATACAGGTTCCATAGTTCACTTGAGTCTTTCTGTTTGCTTACAGCTCTCACCTGAGCAAATGGCACAGCTTGAAGAGCTCTTCATGGCAGTTAAGGTAGGTTCCTTATCACGTTCATAACCTTTTTTTTTTTTTTTTTAAAGTCAAATTTATTATTGTAGCTCAAAAAAAAATCAAATCATTCCAAAAGGCCTATTAAAGTGAGAAATCTGAAAGACTTTCTCCCCAGAAGAAACTTTCTAATTTTGTAGCTATTTCTTTTGATATATACCTCTACGTATCTTTTTTTTTTTTTTTTTTTT